GGAAAGAGATTCATGCATAGCAAGAGAATGGTTCATGCATCGCGGGAAAGAGATTCACGCATAGCAAGAGAAGGGTTCATGCATCGCGAAAAAAAACCATGCATCGCCGGAAAGAGATTCATGCATAGCAAGAGAATGATTCATGCATCGCGAAAAAAAATAATCATGCATCGCCGGAAAGAGATTCATACATAGCAAGAGAAGAAACCATGCATTGCAAGAGAAAGAAATCATGCATCGCGGGAAGAGATTTATCATAGCAAGAAGAAGAAACCATGCATTGCAAGAGAAAGAAGTCATGCATCGCGGAAAAAGTCATGCATCGCGGAGAAAGTCATGCATTGCAAGAGAAGATTCATTCATCGCGGGAGAAAGATTTACCCATCACAAGAAGATCAACATCGACTGCATTATTTTCTTTGCAAAAACGACGTCAAGAAAATTATCAACATATTACATCAGCCTATTTTATTGCTTTGCATCAAAAGAAAAGTACATTGACGATTATATGGAAAATATAAGACACAAGCTTTATTTGCTTTGCGTCGAACCCGATAGAGTTGACGCCAAATGTTTAAGGAGAGCAATTAAGCGTCAACATGGTAAAAGACACTATCCCTCCGTTTGAATTGCATTTTTATGCTAATGAGTTTTATCTCAGTCTTTGTCGAGAGCATCCAGGAGATGAATTCTCAAAACAAACCACAGGTGCGGACGACATCAATTAGGATGCAGCACAACGTGGAACTTTTCTTAGCAGCGAACTGGGACATAGTCCAAAGAGGAATGTCAAACTCTTAGGACGCGAGCAAAGGAGTGACTTCCACCACAATCAAACCACACCCCTATCTGAAGGCATGTGGGTTCTCTTTAAGTTTATCAATTTCAGTTTTGCATTCGAAAATCTTGGTTTCCACCGGAGGCGTCTTTCCAATCTGAGTGACAAATGCACCAAGAGCTTTGGGAATTATGTCTGTGTAAGTTCTTAATTATGGGTGTGAAGCGCGCCACATTCATGACTAAGAGGTTGCAAGCCTCCTTTTCATACTCGACTTACTTTGTCGCTCTTCCAGAACCAAAGGTTATCTTGCATAATAGATTTCCTTTTAAACCGATAGAGTCGAACTACAAACAGCCTGATTCCCTGAGTTGAGGGATATGTAGGCGGAATCAATGCTGAAAACTCGGCTGTATTCCAACATTCATTCTCAAATCTTACTTCCAAGCATTCCGGTCTCCTCATAATTTGATATTGGGATGAGCTTGAATTCTTTCAAAATCATGCGTCAAATCAAGTGTATTGAACTACAAGTGGCCTGAATTCTCATATAACCTGAGATATGTAGGCAACCCATTTTCGGGGTTCGGCCATAATTCCTAAAGTCCGTACCAAAACCCTTTTTCATAAGATGAAGATGTGGTCGGTCAAAATTGGATTAGTCAATTTCATTTTCCTCGAATTTCTCGCATCAAACCAAGTAAAATGAGGGACAGTTGTTGACACCCAATTTTAACCCTCCACAATATAAATTAATCATTTCGAGCTTCTCCAATTTCAATATATATGTAATTAGTATATTTTATAAATATTTGAAAATCATATCAAAAGATTTCCACATGGTTAGGATATGTATTTTATTTTTATTTCGTTTTAGTTTGAATATAGTTTTAATTTTGAATTAATTAGTTTGTATTTAAATTAAGTTAATTATTTTATTTCGCTAAGGTTAAGAAGCTCGTTAATTGATATTAATTCGTCTTATTTTGTTGTTAGCTAAATTCTCCAATTAATTCGATATGGCTTAAATTTCAACTTAAATTGATTACAATTGTAATTTGATAGTTATTTTGTAATTGCAAATATAGTCATTTCTTACCTTAGCTTCCAATTCTTAAAGACCCAAAAATTGGGCCATTTAATTCCAACCCAAGTTCCCTTTTATTATTCAATTCCCAACTCTAGCAGCCCACTCCCATATGACCCAAAACCCGGCCCACCTTCCTTTCCCTTCAAAAAAGAAAACCCAGAAGCGTACAGCTGCACGCGTCAAAGTCCACGCTTTCAGCAGCTTCCAACATCTCTTCACGCGGCGTCTTCACGGCTAGCAAACGACGTCTTCACAATTTCAACTGGAGACGTTCGAATTCATAGCGAGCGAGCAATTCCAGCTCACGGCGTCACTGCACGGAGTCTACGCGTACAGGCAGTACACTGTCTCTTGCTGTCGTCTTCTGCTCGTCCCTCTCAATTTGCAGTCCCAGCAGCACACATCTTTTGTCCTTGGGCGGTGGGATGATGCCACGTTGCGCCACAAGGACGATGAACTTGATCCCAAACGTCCATCTCCCCTTTCCTCTTCCGGAATGGGGCGAATTTCTCAAAAAAGGGTGTTGGTTCGAATTGGGAATTTTTTTTTGATTTTTCAAATTGGAATGGGTCTCATTCTTATGAAAATTCTATCGGTTTCCCGCTCAAAGGAGGAACCCTATTTTTTTTCCCTTGTATAAATAATCTCTTGTCTCTTATTGGAAAGGGGGGAGATTTTTATTTTTATTTTTATTGAAAAAAAGATATAGGGCTGGCAGTTTGAAGTTTATGAAAAAGAACGGTTAAAGTGAGAATAGTCGGGAAAACACATTATACATTAAAGAAAGCAACGAGGATAGAATTCTAGTCTAAGTTTCTTTGCTCGATTTCATTGTCGTCGCTCCCTCCAAGTTCAGTTGGGGCTGAGATTCTGTCCGAGTCTGCTGCTCGTCGTTCGTGCTAGCATTTGTGGGGTGGAATTTGCTGCTCTCCTAGCTTGTCGTCATCCCGTTCGCTGCCCATAACACGGTAAACAATTCGTAATACTTTTACTCATTTCGAGTTCGATATGTTGGTGTGAAATCCTGCTCTTTGCCGACTTTGATATGACTCTATGTAATGTGTTTAAATCTTAGTCTTTACTGTCTCTTCATCCTCTCTCTGAAGTTGGTGATATGTTTTTTTTTCTTTAAGTTGATTTAATGACTGTTCGAGTCCGCTTCTCTGTTCTGTGTTCTTTTCGAACCAGCGGCTATTGTACTCTCTTTAAATTTTGACTCATTTCATTGATCAATCAGGGCACTATTCTATTCTCATTTTGTTGAACTAGTATTCATGTTTTTGTTGTGTGTTTGGAGGGAGTCAAATGCATTAGCTAGCTGAACATTCTATTTCTTATGAATATAAGTTGAATTTTGAGATTGTGTTCTTTAATTTCTTTTAATCTGTCCATATCCTGTTCTGGGAGAAAATCCTTCATATATGTTCCCGAGTTATGTGCTGCTCACTGCCTTGCCCCAAGAAATTTGAACTCTTCTTCTGTGTCTGTACCGTCTCGAGATAGCCGTGCCTTGAATTTTTGGGAATGCCGGCAACTAGTTGCTATATTTTCTTGGTAGGATTAGGATGAAGTCCCGTTTTGGTCCCATGTGTTGGTCTTTTCTTATGTGCATGTGCCCAGTTTGAGTCTTATATATATATACATATATATATATATATATATATATATTTATTTTATTTCATTTTGACAAAGTCTATTCTAACCCAGTTTGAATATATACATATGTACATATACGCTTACTAACCATTTAATATATATATTTATCTGTATTAGATTTATTAGTTTTTCTAACCATTTAATGTATATATTTATTTGTATTAGATTTATTAGTATTTCTAACCATATATATATATATATATTTATTTATTTGTATTAGATTTATTAGTATTTCTAACCATATATATATATATATATATTTATTTGTATTAGATTTATTAGTTTTTCTAACCATTTAATATATATATTTATTTGTATTAGATTTATTTAGTTTTTCTAACCATTTAATATATATATATATATATATGTGTGTGTGTGTGTGTGTGTATACATATATATGTGAATGTTGTAATTAATCAAGGATCTCACCTTAAAAGTGTCCAACCAGAACTGTTAATGCTCGAATATTTTGTGAACCAAGTTTTATCTCTTTAGGATTGTTTGAGAGCATGTATAAGTTTGTCTTGAATTAAGCAAAAATGAATGCATGATTGATCTGCCCAACCTCTCTAACCAGTCGCGATGCTAAGCGTTATGGGGGGGGTGTGATGTTTTCTTGATTGTTTATTTCAGTCGGCTATTTTCTCATTTTATTGGCCTTCCTTTGAGACTTCTAAGTGCTTAATATCCTTTGGTCATCGTTATTAGTCTAAATGCATTACATTTTTATACTTGTTAAATTTTGCCGGGATTCTTAAGGCCGAGAAGGTCAGCTCCTCTCAAGTGCTTACTAATTCATTTTTTTTATTTTTTTTAATTTTATTTTACTTTCTTTTACCGATTTGGGGGTCAACAGTAGTCTAGCTAAATCGTGTGTTTGGCATGTTGTTAATTCTTTTTTTGGAGTTATTGTACCGAAAGTGTCTTATTGCTTCATTTCCTCTCACGAATTATTATGAGTATTACTTATGTATTTTATTTGTTCTTGCCACATGTGAAATCTACCCGAGTTCGTCATGAACTCCTATTTCCCTTTGCATTACAAATGGGTCATTCAGGCCCAATGTTTTCTCCTGCCGAGTCAGCCAGCTACAAGAATTGGTGTACAGGCCCCGGGTTTTAAAATAGCGGAACAGATCGGGAGTCGAAAAGATTGGGCCAAAGCCTACCTTTATTTATTCGGAATTGTATTTTTGTTACTTTGGGCCTAAGCCCCTTTGTTATTCCTATTTGCTATTATATTGTTAGAATTTAGGACAGGTGGCGAGAATTGGGCCTTTTGGCCCAAAATGAAATTAGGCCCAAGTGTTGGTCCAGGCGGACAGAAACCAAACTTGGGCCCGAGTCTCTTTCCCTTTCTATTTTATTGTGTTTGTTGATATTTGCTGCTAATCTTAGGGTTGAAAAGTTCAAATCCCCGAAAGACGCTCATTTCGTTTTTTAACAACTTAACTAAACCGATCATCTTTCAAAAGACTTAAAAGAATAGATTTTACGAATTCTCTCACTTAGATAGTAGTTCCATATTTCTCTTTCCCTTTTTAAATAGTTCTAACTATAGAATAATTCAATTTTGCAATTTAAGTTAAGTTAAAATTATTCCAGCCAAATAAATTAATTGTCGGATAACCGCATTAGCGGATATTCTAGGTGCCTTAAAAACCTTCCTAGAATATTAATAAGAACCTCGAACCCTTTTAAAGTTTTTCATTAGATTCCTGTTTTAGTCTTTTGAAAACAGTAGTTTTCTTGATTTTTCTTAAAAATTAAGTGGCGACTCTTAAATCAGTCAAAATAACATTTTTTTAAATAAACCAGAATGGCGA